TGGCTCTATGATAGTTAATGGGCTTTTAGTGTTAATGAATCCTCAGCTTTTGCTGCCTGCAAGCTTCTCATAACTGTTCACATCAAACCTGCCTTCTCTTCTGTCTAAGACTCGGGCCAGGCCCAAAGCGTGATCCCCTGTGTCTAAGAGCTTTTCATAATAATAGTTCCCTAACTTGTTCACTAAATGGTTATGAGGAGGATTAAAGGGGTTAATTCTCTTCCCCAGAGTCTCCCTCAGGAAGCATACATTAGCTAACTGATACCAGTCACTAGTTCAGAGACTTCAAGGTCTAAACCTGAAAATCTAGACATGAAAGATTTGGAATGTACATGAAAGCTTTTCAGTGGGAAGAAATAGCAGTAAAAGGTCCATATCTTGTTTGTAAATGTACTCACCATTACAGAGGTTATACATATGTAAAAGCAAGTTGTATAATTTTATCACAAATAAATGCAAATCAATAATTGCATTTATTCAGATATAAAAAATGAAATCCTGTCATCTGAGGCAAAAAGGATGGAACTGGAGGATGTTGTGTTGAGTGAAATACACAGGACACAGAAAGACAAATACCACAGGTTTTCCCATTTTCCCGTATACTTGGGAGCTAAAATTAAAGGGAAAAAAACAATCTGCATATATGGCATGATGATACTAGAGACTGGGAGGGAGAGATGAAAGATTTTTGGATTAAAAATAGTAGAAGTTGGGCATGGTTAATTAATTGTGAGAAAGATACTGATGAGATGCTAACAGGACAATTGGGTGAGACGTATATGGAAACACTTTGTATTACTACCTCCAAATTTTTGTTTTATAAATTTAAGGCTATTCTGAAATAATGATAAAAATACTTAAATACATCAAACCACTAATAAAAATAATAATTGCATAGCATCAATTTGCTATTTAGTCAATCAACACAATCTTAGAGACTTAAAGCAACATACACGTGTTGTCTTATGGTTCTGGAGTTCAGTTGTTTAAAACAGACTCTTCAGTTTTCAATCCATATGTAGATTTTAGAAAGAAGACATTTGCAGTTTCTAGAAGATTCCTCAGCTCACACTTGATGTGGCTTCTACCCTTGGCTTCCATCATCCTCTCCTTCTCTGAACCTCTGGCCTCCTTCCTGTAAGTACTCTAAAGACTCCATTGGCACCATACAGATAATCCATAAGACTCTCCCAATCTCAAAGGCTTCAATTTGCTCACATATGAAAACCACACTAAGAGGTTCCAGGCATTGACATGGGGACATCTTTGAGGAGGCCATTATTCAGCCTGCCTCAGTTCCATATTGAATTCATTTCAAAGAACTAATACTTCTTCTCTGGGAGAGAGCAGAGTCTAGGGAGCCAATTTTCTAGTCCTTTTCTATTCTTTTCCTTAACTGTTTCCCCTTGTCCTCAGAGACTTGAACCTATATATGACTTTGTTTGTATACACACACAGACCTGCACACACATTCACCCACATACACAAACACTCTGACACAAAGTTCCCAATTCATTCTGGGAGAAAGTCTATTAAAGATGAATTTTCCCCTAATCTATAAGGCAGCATGGATATATCTAGGATAGTAGTTTAATACATCAAAGGTCATATCTTCTCTCCACATGCTTAAAATAATAGAAGATCCGTAAGAAAAGGAAGAAAAGGTGAAAGCAATGTTCCAGCCTTCTGTAGTTTATGGTCTAAAGCTCCCAGAAAAACGTCAATTTCTGCTAGTTCATAGGATTCAAGTTTTGAAGTCATGATTTAATTTACTTTGTATGCTGTCTCCTCCCTTTCCTTTCCCTTACTAATCCCATGTCTTTTGAAGAGAGAGAGAGAGAGAGAGAGAGAGAGAGAAGCAAGAATGTGTTTCTTCCATCTCTTTGCCTTGCTAACTAGGAATGTGCTGTCTCATGGGCCCAGTGAGGAGACATGATTCTCTCTGTCTTGAACGATAGGTACATTCAGTAGCAAAATCCAGCTACTCCATAGATGCTCTGTAGTCTCACTTATGTACCGTGGTTCCAGATCCTCACGTTGTCCAGTACAAACCTCTTTCTCCTCCTCTTTAAGGCAGGAACCAACTGAAAAGCCAACAGTTAAAGGTAGATGTCAAACCTAAACTTTGAATCTGTAAAGGCAGATTGGAAAATGTGGTTGCAAATCTATGACCAAACGGGCATGCTAGCATCTTATTCCTGAAGCAAAATGCGCAGCTAGACCTTAGCACAATGCTCTGAGTATATGCCCATTTGGGTTTACCCTAAGGATCAACAGAACAAAAGAAGAGAAAAAGGCAGAGTGAGACATGCTTAGTTCCCACTCCCAAAGTCACCAATCAGGTGAATTATTCTCTTTCCCAGGGGAACAGTGAGTGGCAAATTGTGAGACGCTGGAATTACTTTCAGCTTCATGGGAAATTAAGTGGAAAGAGCCCTTGTTTTGGAAACAATACAGGTTTGGAATTAAATGTTCCAATCTAACAGGGAAATTTTCCTTCCCTCGGGGGTGACATGTAGGCTAAATGCTCTCAAGGAGCCCTATTTCAAAAATTTCTTTCAAATCCGACTATAACAGAGCAATTTTAAGTCGTAGTTCCAACCAGGAAAAACTTGTGTAAGAAGGCAACAGGAAAGATGACAATGTAGAGGATGGAAATGTGAGCTTTTGGAAGATCACTGGTTTGGCAAAAGGATCATAGGTCCATAGAATCAAAGGAAAATAGCTATGGAGTGACTAATACATTCTAGCTGGACTGTAAGTTCCCAAGAGGGGACTGCAGATGCTTATTGCACTTGTAAGTGTGCCTCTCAGCAGAGCACCAGGAGCAGCGCTGACACTGAAGAGGGTACTGCCTTTACCTTTGGAGGCCTCGGTTTCCTGTTTTATGATACATAAAAGTGCTTCAGAAAGTTCATGGAGAGTGGAACAAAAACACAAATTTATTTTGGTGCAAGAAATTTTGAAATCCATGGATATAAGTTCCTCCCAAAAGTTCATGAAAAATGCCTATGATGAAAAACAATGCATGAATTTAAAAAACATCTATGTCAAAATAAACAAGTTTTCATTCCATTTCCCATGAACTTCTTGAATAACCATCATACATACACACAGATACATATAGATAGATAGATAGATAGATAGATAGATAGATACATATATATAGAGAGAGAGAGTAAGAGAGAGAGAGAGAGATCCAAAAACCTTATCACTTTGAAAACTTATGACTTTAAAAGAATCTTCACTTTTCCCTCACTAAACAAATCCTACTACAAATTGTTTTGCCTTGTTCTGGATAATTTTTTGACACTTTTTTAAAATATGGTTCTAACCTCCTTAACAGGCTCCCAATGAGCCCTTTAATATGCTTCTTTAATGCCCAAATTCACTGTGAGTTCAAGGAGAGAAAATGCTCCTGAAGAAAACCCCAGGCTGGGTTTCAGGTATGCTTAATCCTGTCTCCATGAGAAGCAATAGTTAGATAATTTCAAAAGCATACGCCTTTAGGATTCAAGCTGCTCGTGTTTGCAAACCAGACAGCCACCCTTAATACCACTGCTGGTTTATTGACACAAACGCCTTGCTTCCCACAGCTTGTAATTGAATCCCCCCACTGCTTAATTGGAAATAGAACGACTTCACAACCAGATTTGAAACATCTTCTGAAGCTGGTGGGAACATCAGCACTCCCTTTTAAAAATAAAAATTATATCATTAACTGTGTTAAGTGAAGATTGGTGTTCTGGTGAATATCAGGAAATGAGTGCACCCCAGGACTGTCTGAACACAGGGCAATTAAAGATGTCTTCTGTTTTACAGTGCATATACACATGGCCTCCCTCTTGCTGAAGCATAAAGGCTAATGCTGGATTCATTCCTGTCTTGTAAAGTCCTAATATTTGTACTCTTTTCATCCCTTTAAAAGACATTTTACCTTCAACTTACTCTTGACCAGGAACTGCATTCAGACTCTCATTCAATAAATAATTGTTGAGTTTTTATTATAAGTCAGGCACTGATCTAGGCATGGCAGTAAAATAGTGTAGGAGAGAAAATAAGAATTAAAATACTAAGCAGATATATTATATCTATAAAATATATGTCTATACACATAAGATATTTATATGTATATAAATTATTACTATACTTACTATATATTTATACATATACATGCATATAGTTTAATTCTTTCACATGAGAAAATAATTTTGAACTACATAATCGTTCCTTGATATCCACAGGGATTGGTTCCAAGACCCTTCTGCAGATATCAAAATCTGAAGATGCTCAAGTCCCATTTATAAAATTGCACAATATTTGCACAGAATCTATGCATACCCTCTAATATACCATAAATAATCTCTGGGTTACTTATAGTACATCCCAATAATGTAAAAGCCATATAAACAGCTGTTATACTGAATTATTGACATGAAAAAGTATGTATAGGTCTGTACAGATGCAGGTAGTTTTTTTTCATATTGGCTGAATCTGAGGATATGGAATCCATGAACACAGAAGGCCAACTGTATTTCCAATGATTTATGTGACTATTCACTGAAGCACTGGTGTAGTAATAATAAATTTAAAAACAAATGCAATGATCAGAAAGTCGGATGGGCAAAATGAATCACTGAATCAATGATAAATATGTAGACAATCAAAAAATGACTTCAAAACATGTTTAATACCGTGGGAGTACATAAGTAACTACAGAAGAAAGGTGGAAAAGTTAGCTATTTTATTTATATATATATATATATATGTTAACATATCATGGAAAATGATGGACTATATCACATTGGAAAGTTCACAGGGTTTATCCTTAAATATTAGAATGTACAATCAATTCTTCTCTAAAAATTTGCTTCAAATGGTAGTTATTTTCTATTTTAAGAAAACATTTTTATGATAAAATTACATTTTAAAGAATTCTGATGCAAACAAGGCCTGCTGCAGGTGTCCTGCAGCCTTTCTGGCTTTCCTTCTCCCCAGCCACTCCATTCCTTGGTAAGGATGGTTGTACAGTGTAATCGCATATGAGCCTGGGCTTTGTCGTCAAACCCCTTGGTCCCACAGCCAGCCTCAGATATTCACTAAATGTATAAATGTGGGGAAGCTATGTAACATGTGCAATCCAACTACGCTATTAGTAGGAAGCATTAGTATCCCCATTATACATATACGGAACAGAGATGTGACACCTGAGTGTTTTAAAACACATTAGCAGGTTGGCCTTTTAATAACAGGTAGCATTTATCCAGTATTTTCTATTTCCCATCCTTTCTCTGCTCATCTTATGTTCTTCCTGACTTCAAAACCCCCTCCCTCGGCTGGCCTCCTTACTGAGACAAGGGGTCAGGTGCTCTCCTCTGTCCTGTAGACACATCAGTGTCAAGTCCAGATGTCCCATGTTAGGACCTCACACACTAAGTCCGCAGAGGTGACTGCGTGGAAACAGTCACTTACTACTCACCAACTCCACAACATGGCATTAGAAGTGTTATGCATTCTGGTCTCCATGCAGTTCTCCATCAACCTCTCCCCCTTCTCTGTGCTTGGCTTCCAGTTGTCGTGAACTTCCACCTGCAAAAGCAACCATGATTCACAGCCTTTAGTATTGTTGTGCCTTCTGTTCTCCCTGACACCGCAGTGGCTCATTTCTTCTGTCTTTGCAGGTGTCACATTCAAAGATGCCATCTCTGAACCTGATGTCCAAAATAGAGGGGATTTGTCTTATTATCCTATTTTACTTTCATTACAGCTCTAATCGCTATCTTACATGATAGTATGCATTTAGGGAGGCAGGCCTATACAAGCTCAATCAATGTTTGTTAATTAATCAATCAATTCACTAGGACTGACATCCCCTACACTTAGGAAGAATTTACCACAAAAATCCAAAGGATCTAATTTATTGTACTTTAGAAATTTGCTCAAACTCTAAATCAGTCACACACTGAAAAGAAAACTCAGAAAGTCTTTTTCTCCAACCAAGCATTTAATAAGCATTGCAGTCAGAGCCCTGAGGAAATTAATGCGCTTTCCAAGACAGCCTATTCTGCATCATAAGACTCTGTACTAAAACGAAGAGAATTTGTCTGCTGCTGAGCACTTGAGAATGAGCAACTGTACTCAATAAGGCAGCATGTGTGGCAAGAAGCTCTGAATGCTAAGGACTGACAAATGATTTTCTGTTGTGGGAAAAGTTGTAAATTTGCAAACATGATGAGAGCCATCATCAGGTGACACATGCAGAGCATCAGGCTAGATCAAACCACCCTTTTAAGGAGATCTGCAGAGTCCTCCTACTGAGCTGACATCTGAAGAGTACACAAGAGTTGTAGTTGCATAGGGTATAAGGAGGCACCAATCTTCCTGAGAAAGAGGAGTGTGTGCATAGATCCTGAAGCAGAAGGAATGGGGACGTAAAAGGGTCTGAACAAAGAAAAACAAACCAGTTTTTCCTGTGCTCAGGCCACGTTCAATATTTCACTTCTGACACCAGAAGTATGCAATTTCCCTACACAAAGCAGTTGTCAAATTTTCTGCAAACACCAAATGGGAGTCCTACAACTGAACTGAATACTGACACTAAGCGTGCTCCCTACTTCCAAGCAAGTACATTATCATTTGTGCTTATGCTTACAAATAGGAGATTCCCACAACCTCTCATTTGATCATTTGCTGGAATGGCTTATGGAACTCAGAGAAATGGTTTACTCACTAGATGGCTGGCTTATTAACAAAAGGTACAAACAGGAACAGCAGATGGAAGAGATGCATAGGGCAAGCTACAGGGACAGGGGAGCAGAACTTCTGTGAAGTAGTGCAGCCCTCCCAGTACCTCCAGGTGTTCACTGCCTTGAAAGCTTTCTGAAGCTCATCCGTTTTGGGTGTTATGTCTGCTCCATTATGTAGGCATGACTGATCAAATCATTGGCTATTGGTGATTAATTCAACCATGAGCCCTTCTAACCTGAAAGTTCCCACCCTCTCAACTACAACAACATGCCTCCCCTTGCTTGAGAGACAACAAAAGAGCAGCCAATTTGTGGGAGTTTGAGGATGTGTTTGGAAATAGATTGGTTTTCCATATCCATCACTGTAAGCTTTTTGTGGTGTAGAGTGAAGCTACACCAAGAGGGGATAGGAAAAAGGGCAGATCATGGTCTGGGATCTGGGGATTCGTTTTTTCCACATCACTGTGTACCAGTAAAAATATAAGGTGTCTGAAATTACTTTTCAGGTCCTTATGAAGTGCATCATTCATAAGAATTGCATGCATTTAATTTTCTAGAAGCTTGCTTTATACTTTTTACATATCTAGAAGTATGGCACATGGTCTTCCATCTGTACTACTGCTTGGGGCTCTGCAAATTCTTTTTTTTTTTTTTGGTATAAGGAATTTAAATATGGAGAAAAATAGTTCAACCTTAATAAATGAACAAAAGGAATCATAAAAGTAATACTAGCACACATTTATAAAATGCTCAACTGTGCTCCTAGATCTGCCCTCAAACCTGATAAAACATCACAGGCACTGGGACTAATCCTCTCTGGGAACTGCTTTCTGTTCAAAAGTTATCTCCCCCAAAAGAAAAGAGACAGAGCCTCACCCCAAATCAGGATAATTTAGGAGGGACATCTAGGCTTCAAAGCTATGTGGGGAAATGGGTAGAGACCTTGTTCGGGCTGCTTCCCCGTCCAACTGCTCACCCTGTCCGACTGGTTTCCCTGCCTTTACTCACAGGTACAGATCTAGAGATCACTTATCAATAATCCTCTTTCATGCTAATCTCTACCTTAAAAGTCTGTACACTCAACCCCAAAGCACAATTTTTACAGTCACGGTTCTACTATGAGTCAGGCTCTGTCCAGATATTTTCCTTCAGTTCTAATTTTCACAACAGTCTCAAAAAGTAAGTGCTCTTATCGATTCTCATTGTAGGGATGAAGAAACCAAAATTTTTTCAGATCTCATAGTTGAGTGACTGAAGAGCACACAGTTAATATAGGAGTAGGAACGTCCAGCATTAGCTAGCTTTTGGAGTATTTTATAGCTATACTGGGCACTCTTATCAGTGTGAGGAAACTTTTTTCTGCCAAGGGCCATTTGGATACTTATAACATCATTCATGACACACACAGAGTTATCAACTTAAAAATTAGCCTGCCATAAGTTCATTGAATTTCAAGTCCTGCCTGCGGTTGCCTTGGCATGGCCAAACCAAAATTTCACAGGCCTTATATGACCCTTGTGCCGGATGTTCCCCACTCTTGTAATTACATGTTCACTCATTATATACTTTTTATCTCTAATTTCTTTAAAAAATATTTATTTTAATTGTGAGAGAGACAGGGGAGGGAGGTGGACTGAGACAGAGACAGACTGGTAGAGAACTCCCATCTCCTCATTGTTAGATGGCATGATCTACACCCCAGGCTCTAGCCCCCATTGCTGCAAGCCAGGTAGCCACATGGTCCAACCACCCGAGTCAGCTTCACTCCCATCCTAATGGGATTCGTTGCTCCTACTTCCCTGCCCGCCCCCAAGCAAAGTTTTAAGAGGACCTGTTCCTGAACACGTGGCTCTCTTTCTCTCCGTCTCTTGATCTCTCTCTCTCTTATGCTCTTCTTCTCTCTTTTCTCTCTTTGCCTCTTCCCTCTGGTCTGTTGGGTTTCTCGCAATAAACCCTTTCCCTTACTCTGGTGTTTGGTGTGTTTTGTGGTAGCCTTACATTGGTCCATTCCCCAAATGCCCCAACAGCCAGGGCTGAGCTAGAACAGAGCTGGAAGTCAGGAACTCAGTCTAGGTCTTGCATAGCAGTGGAAGGGAATCAGCTACTGCCCAGAGACTACATAAGCAGGAAGCTGGAGGCAGGCAGCAGAGGCAGGAACTGAACACACACATTCAAACATGGGATGTGGGCGTCCCAAATGGAACCTTAACCACTAGACCAAGTGCCCATCCCTTTTACTCTAGTCATCTGAATCCAAGATTGTCCTCTGAAAAAGTCCACAGAGCTATATTTTAATAATATTTATAACAGGAAAAAAGGCAGACAGAATGTTGGTAATATCCAGAATAAAGAAGAAATGATTAAAAGAAAGAAATATGGACCTGAAAAGTAATTTCAGACACCTTATATTTTTACTGGTACCACTATGTTGGATGTTGGGCTGATACACCCTAGAATGCAAGGAATCCTTGACACCCAAAACTTGCAGTTAGCCAAACAAACAAACACTCTGTTCTGATAAAACAAGGTAACCTACAGATTCTCAAAAGCTGCAGACTCATTGTTATGCTGACATCATTCCTGAACTGAATTATCTCTTGATTTTTAGGCTCCTAATACCTGCTTCTCTACTGTTAAATTTTCCTTTTGAAAATGACATTTTATTTTATAACAGTTTTAAATTTACAAAACAAAAATGGTGAGATAGTAATACAGTGAGTTCCCATATACCTCTTACCCCATTTCCATTTCCCCATTAATATCTCATATTAATATCTTTGTCACAATTAATTTTATTTTTGGCAGGGAAGTATGAAAAATGTCAGGGTGACATTTATGGAGGTTTCCAATAGGAAGTGGTAGAATGAATCAGTAGAGGGGAGTTGGACTTGTTTTAAATAGCTCCTAGGCCCCTCATGTCCTCTTATCCTACCTCTAGCCCATAAACCACAGCTTGAGAGACCCTCTGTTTGGAAGCATATTTAATCCCACCCTGATCATTTCAATGGATCTGAGAAAACAGTAATGCTAAATTTATTCTTGAACTCTGTCCTGCTAGATTAATCATCCTCACTTTGCATAGCCTGTACTACTCCCATTACACAGGTCATTAGAACAAAGTGCTAGGTACTAGGATTGCCCTACTGCACTCTCAAATTGTGTGAATTCTCTGTGCTTCAATGGGAATATGAACATTCTCATCCTTAAGGGTAGTATTATAATTTTAATTAATATCTTTAAATTACTAGTCATAGTGGATTCTTGTGAATCTTACTCTTTTCCTCCTGTGTATAATTCAAAACCTTTATGAATGAAAATATACAAAGATATGCTGGGAAAAAAAAGTCATCCTCAGAGCTCTAATCTCTTCTCCAATAGCACCTGGATAATGACTAAAAACTGACTTCGCTTTGTGAAATGCCTCAATCACATTCTTGTTTCTTTGCAGACAAGAGAATAGTCTGAGTGACGTCACTTGGTACCAATAGCTATTTGCTAGGAAAGAAAAAAATAAGAGTATAGCTTAATGCTCTTTCGGATAAAGAAGCCTGAGTTCTTGATGCCATAAGAGGCTTGCTCTAAAGAAGACAGAGAGAGAGAATACAAAACAGGTTCATCCAACCAGATCTTTATTCAAGAACAAGAAGCCTGGCCAAGCAGCAGCTTCTCCAACCACCTGGCTTCTGAGAAGTCCTTACCGTTTCAAGGTGTGCCAGTGAGCACTCAGAAGAGTCTAGCACTCCATCCTAAACCATGTGGCCTTGTGGAGAGGAACACTGCAGTATGAAGCATTTGTGAGGATGCTGGGAAACAAGAGCTTTGGACACCAGGAAAAATGATATC